GCGTAGTGCCATGGCCATTTCGACGATTGAAGCGGCATGTACAACAGGTCGGGATGTGTAAAATCTGAACTGAGATGTTGGTGAGCAGCCCCAGTTCTAGGCACGATCTTGTGTTTATCCTCCAGGTTACTCATGCCCCGGATTATTGCTCTTAGGCAGAGAAGAAGAGGCCGGGCGCATGGTTTAGGACAGGATGACTCGTAGTGATAAAGCGATCATTGCATCGAGTCAGGCAGAATAGTTCTCGATGCAGGCATAAGACCAAGGCAAAATCAATTGTGACCAGGTGACCGCCGCTGCGTCTGCCACTAAATCACGCTTTCTCCGGGCAGCATCTATCCGAAGCTATAACAGTGCAAGGTTTGTGTCCCACTGGCACAGATCAGACTTTGAGATTCACTTTACTAGCAAATATGGGTTAATCGTAAGGCTTGAGGTGTTCTGGGTTCTCATTGGCCATACATCCCAGTTCCATTCTACTTTTGATTACTTACTGTGGAGTCTAGTGCATGTAGAGGACGATGAAGACCTCGGACTGTACCTGGTCTACATCTTTCTCCCAAAACACCGGGTGTGCGTAGTGCCATGGCCATTTCGACGATTGAAGCGGCATGTACAACAGGTCGGGATGTGTAAAATCTGAACTGAGATGTTGGTGAGCAGCCCCAGTTCTAGGCACGATCTTGTGTTTATCCTCCAGGTTACTCATGCCCCGGATTATTGCTCTTAGGCAGAGAAGAAGAGGCCGGCGCATGGTTTAGGACAGGATGACTCGTAGTGATAAAGCGATCATTGCATCGAGTCAGGCAGAATAGTTCTCGATGCAGGCATAAGACCAAGGCAAAATCAATTGTGACCAGGTGACCGCCGCTGCGTCTGCCACTAAATCACGCTTTCTCCGGGCAGCATGCTTTAGCTTTTCTGGAGCATTCCTCTCAGTGAATGCCACCCTTCAAGCTGACAAGTGGGTCTCCTGGGAATGCACACATGACACTGGCGCTGTGGTGAAGTAACGAGGTGTAGGCCGAATGGTGAGGGCAATCTCTCGTTGGTCCTTCAAGTTATAGCGACTGCCTTATATGCTCAAGCTCTTCGTTCCGACTGCGCCTTAATATCTGAATCTCGGACAGGAAGGCTTCCGACTTGATGTGACCATCACATATCATTGAGCATCCAACAAGTGTCACATACCTCAGAATTGAGTGAACCTCTGTGGTCCTGTTAACCAACCTTCTGCTGTGTGATAAGATGATTGCCGAGCTCCCTTCAACCCAGGCACAGATCATCCAGAAAAGGAACCAGTGTCACCGACGAACGTCGCTCTCTGTTTGGTATTTGCTAACCCCTGAGTGTTGGAATGCCATGGACCAGCATGCATCTTGCTCATATGAATTTTCCAGTGTACGGATGCTCAGTGTGACAATCATTCTTCGCCGATAATGAGCATTGACAAGTTTAAGTATTCCTCATTTATAAAATGTAAAGAAAGTCTTTGTCGCTCGCTGGCGCGATTCCAGTACAGGCTCTCCCCATATCCTGCCGGTAAGTGTGTTGATCAGGCTTTCGGGGACAGATTAGAGCCTTGCAGCTGAATAGATAATGATATATTTCTGATGAATTGTGGCTGAAAGTGAGATGACGGCCCCCGTTCTTGAATACTCTTAAACAAATCTCTACTACGAGCCTCAGCCAGAAGATGTGTCATCTCTCGTATCTATTTTCGTACTTGAGCGCTTGGAGGTTGTGGTTCCATCCGAGCATCTCCCTTGTGTATTACTTCGTCTTCCAAGAAAGCTTCTTACGCAATAAAGGAGCCGGGAAAGAACGATGAGACCATTTTGCTGCTCGGAGGCAGATTCTTTAGCCGAAAGAAAAGAGTGGTTGCGATGGACACCGTCCTTCTGTACTGTCTTGTATGGTCAAATTGACATCCCGGCATCCGATGATAAATATTCAACTTGCAAGCCATGGGTCGAAGGAAGGAACACTTGACACGTTATCCCTGGCGCCATTGTGGGTGAGGTATCTCTTTGAGATGGGGCAACCTCAGCATCGAAACCTTGTGCATATGTGGATGCTCCTGGCATTCCTTCTTACCATTCCTTCGAGCTCTCGTTCGCGCTCCCAATCACCAAGTTGCACTCATGTCGAAGCTCGTGCAGCTAGGTGCGCCCCAGGGTTCAAAGGAAAGCTGTGGAGTGGCTCTCTTGACAATCTCCTGACAGGCCCCTTGTTGAGCTGTTGTGGTCATCACTACAGGCAGGATCCTGATGAAGAAAATCTGCTCTGCAGTTACTTGCTATGCACCTTGGTAATAGCATGCAAGCATGCTTCCCGCTGTTTCAGTAATGTTATCAACAAAGTCCGAACAGCAGTATGGCCCCTTGATGGTCACTTGTCCAACATTTGCTCCCGCGCCTTGCGCGCGCGCAGATGAAAACCTCTTCAGGTGTCGGAATCGATAGCAGATCTCTCGTTACCTGTGCCACCTTTTATTGACACACAAACGACAGACCGCATTCCGGGGGGTCCTACGATTAGATTTATTGCTGGATTGAACCACCTGGTTGCGAGCTGGACCTCCGTTTGACTCCACGCTATCCAGCGTCGTATCTGAACGATTAGACTCGCAACACGGACAGCGCGATGCTGCTCCCGGGGTAGAGCCTTGTTTTCAGTGTAATGTGATAACAAGAATCTTCGATGAGGACGGGGCAGCATATCGCTTGCCTGTGGTTGCTGTTGCTCGTGAGCAATTGCGGATGCGCGCTGGTCAAGTATCCGCAGGGTTCCGAGGTCAGACAGCGATACGGGAAGGCGCCGATGTTCCGCACATCAGCAGGAAATCGCTCAATATCAACTCTTTCTTCTGCAATCTTTGCCAGGGCCTTCACAATCAGAACCTGGTCGAGGTGTCGTACAGTCCAGCCGGCAGTGGAGTCTACCTCGGCTCACCCTCTCTGCTCGTGCTCCACGAAAGTGGCCGCATACTGTGCAGCCATGATACCTTCCCGGACGGCGAGACTACTTATGTCCTCGAATCCAAGGATGGAGGGGCCACATGGCAAAATCTGAGCTCTGTGGCTGCGCAGTATTGGAGCAACCTCTTCATGGTCCAAGGTCGGTGCGGGAAGATGGGGATGTCTTCCCTCCTCTGATGCATGTGGCTTTGTTTTCAGGTGGTTCACGCATGTCTACTACTCCTCGCGCAGATACCATCTACTTGATGGGCACCACTCACAGCACGTTTGGAGCAGGCATAGCCCTCTCTGAGTCGAGCGATGGTGGCTCCTCCTGGCGGCACGCTGTCCTCTTCGAGCCTCCCAGTGGTTGCTCATACTCCACAGGTTGTGCAGTGGGGTTCAGGCAGTGAAAAGCGCAACTCATCTCAATGTTGTGCCTGTCAAAATGTTTACCTCCGTGTATTTGAAAATCACTCCTGACATTGTCTCCTCGCAGGAGCTGTGCCTGTCCTGGACCATGGTGGACTCCTGTATCGAGGCTTTGAGATGTGGTGTGGGAGCTGGCTGGTGTGGCCCCAGGCCTATCAGGCCTTTGTGGTGTATGCCAACAGGTCGTCCACCCTCTTGGATCCTGCGTCGTGGACACGGACTGAGGCTGTCGCTTTCACAAGGTGACTCGTTCGTCTGTGAGCATGAGCCAAACCCTTGCGGATGCATACTCTGTGCCAAGAAAGTCTACCGACGCTTGCCTGTGGTTCCCTTCCCAAACAGGGATATGATTCCGGCATGGATGCCCTCCCCTGTCGTCAGTGGAGGATTCCTGGAGGGGAATACGGTTCTTCGACCCGATGGACGTGTCAGCCTCCTGATGCGCTGCCGTGTGTACAACGGGCAGAGCGAGATGTATTCTGTCCAGGAGGCTTGCCTCTTGGACCTGACGGCATCTACGAGCGACATGGACATTCGTGAGGCTCGGTTGTCCCTCAGATGGCAGGGACACGTGTTCATGCCAGGTGGTGGGAACAAGTTCACAGTCAGGTGAGGTGTAAGTGGTTGGGAGGGGACTACTCAGGTCCTAATGCTCACTCTACCGCGATCCCAAATTTTCAACATTGATGGAATGTGCCTCAGTGTCGACAACCACTCCCTGCAGGTATGATGTGCATTCACGAATGTACTTGAGTCTCACCAACCCCAGCATCGATAGGTATGGCGTCAACCCAGACGCAAGGAACGTCCTTGTGCTGGTCTTCTCCCAAAATTTAGTGGATTGGAGGATTGCCACCACGGTGCTCGTGCCCAATGATGGCCTGGACTGGGAGGCCAGCCTCTGGTTCACTGGGTACCAATATGTCGATTGGCAAACAGACGGTCCAGACATCGTGATGGCAGTCCGCACTGCCTACCAGGGTGCGCACAGTTTCCACGACTCCAACAGGCGCGTGGCATGGGGTCGGAGAATAATGGGTTCCTGTGCCGCACACTTGGGGACAGGAGACCACCCACCACCAAATCCCCTGCCCACCTCCATCGCGACAGAATCGCATTCAAGCGCCTCCAGAACTACATGCGCTACCTCCCTGTAGCCCAAACAGAAGTATTCTGAAATGCTTCGTAGAAGAGAGTGATGAAGTCTTTTATGTAAGTTCTCTGCTAGGCAACTTGGTTTGACCCCTCATGGTCTCCAGAGGTATGTAGAATTTCCTCGCAATCTTGGATGTAAGCATCAGCTCGAAAAGGTATCACCAACTCCCACCAGTCAAATGTGAGAAGTGTGACGTGAGGGAGAGCTTGCACCAGTTGTGTGTTATGGAGGGGATGCCCATCGGTGCAACGGCCACATCACCATGGTACCCCCCGTTTGCCCGATTTTGTGCACGACCTATTTCGAGTGTCCGCAGGAAGAACGCTGCGGACTCCGCAAGTGGTGTCGAGTACTATCGACAAAAACCATCTGAAGGGCCAACTGTCCGCAATTCCTCCTGGAGCGGGCATTGAGGCTGGAGGTGGGGAGGGTCGTAACACCCCCGAGCAGCGATGGCGTCGACGAGAGCCTTCAGGGCCCGGCCTGTCGACATAAGCCGGGCCCTGCCAATTGTACGGGATCTCACCCTCCTTGACTCCACCGAGGGCCTCCCAGCGCGAGAAGTGGTGCACAATCATGCCGCACTGGATGCCGACAACGAAAAGGTGGGACCAGGCCTGTAGGTGCTCAGGTGTCAGAATGATGTGTGAGAGCACCACACTCCATACTCCGTCTCTTGAACCACACCTAGCACCCCCTTACACCTTGCAGCCAAAAATGATAAGTCAGGCAGATGGCAAGGGTGGCAAGGAGATTCCCATTCCCGGTGTGAAGACCATCCCTTCCTATGAGAGGGATTACCTGCCCACATGGAAGGACCAGAACACTTACATCCGAGACCGAGGTTGGTTTCTGATGACAGTGGGAGTGGCATTGTGATATGGGATACACTATGCCCATGGCAAGCGAGGAGCGGTCGCACATCCAACACTGTGGGGCGTTTGTCCTTGCAGGGACGGCGGAACAAGAGTTTGAGCTCGTGGAGTATGACCTGGACTCGGAAGACGAGCGCTGGCTGCAGGACCTGAACAACGGTCAGGTGATCAATATGGTGGGTGCTTCGGGTGTGCTGCACCTGTCCAACACAACTCTGCCTCCTCTGTTTCCAGCTTCACGTTCGTCGTCTCCAGGAACGATTGCCCAAGGCGAGACTCGAGATGATGCTTTGGAAGCTAGAGATACACAATGCAGCTGCTACAGATAGGGCCCTGGCCTTTGCGGGTAATAGTTTGGGGAATGAATGGTTTAGGATGTCCTGATTGGAAGTCATTATAGGTTTGAATGTACCACACCACTCCTAGAGCGTACCCCCACCCCCGCTTGCTAGGTGCCTCTGCGGCTGAGAGAATGAGCGTGGCGGCTTGCTCCACCACCGACCACATGCCACGCGAGGAGGCGCTGCAGATGCTGGAGGAATCCTGCACGGGTGAGGAATGTTTGGTGCTGGCATCTAAGATGGCAGGCAGGTCTCATGTCGGCCCAGACCCTACACTCACATGTCTCCGCCACCTTGTGAATCAGGGCGCGATGTGCTTCGGGCCACGGTGTACGACTACTGGCTGGAGAAGCGACGAAGGCTGGGCAGGCCCATGCTCCGCCGCCTGCAGGCACTGACACCTCCCAATGACAACAACCCCTACAATGTGTTCAGGTGTGAGGCCTGCTCTGGCCTTGCCTTTGAACCCGAGTGGTGTAGAGGGGTGCTCTGGATCACTGGCGACTCGCCTAGCCTGCATGGTCTTCTGCTTCTACGCACCCCTCCCCACCATCACTTGCAGACCGAGGGAAAGGGTGCACCGTCCCCAGACGCGGCGCAGAAGGGAGAACAACGAGGACTCCCTGGACAAGTTGCGGATGGTCCGTGAGAATGTGCTCAAGGCCCTTGACCTGTTTGAGATGCTGGTCAAGAGGGAACGGAAGAAGCGAGATCTCCTGGTGCGCTGAATGCGGAGTGAGGGGCGATTTGGAGGCTGGGAGCGCCTTGCTGCCTGCAGTATGGGAAACGTGCCGGTACCCGGCAGCAGTGTGTCTCATGAGCCCCATGCCACCCTCTCACCCCCTCACGCACAGTTTGTTGCGACGGACCTGCAGCAGATCCAGCTGAAGCTGCGGCACGAGCCCCGAGGCCGCTCAGAGCAGGTACTGTTGTATGGGCATACAATGCCCTGGTTATCCTCCTGCAGAGTACTCCCGCACGCTTCACCGCGCCGCCTCAGTACTTTTTCTCACCTCCTTGCTGCAGATCGAGGAGCAGTATCTTGCTGCATCCAAGTCCAAGTCTGTGAAGAGACCTCTTGGCTTTGAGCTGCCAGAGGCTGCTCCTGTCACCAACAACAAGCTTCTGGAGAAGCTGAAGAAGACAAAGCGGAGGTGGGAAGAGGGGTTTTTAGTGAGAGTGCGACACTCCCAGACTTGATGCCTTGGGAGCGGGGAGGAGACCTCGTGGGTGCAAGCTGACCCTCACCACCTTCCTTGATGTCTACCTCCGGCAGGAGGAAACCAGGAGAGGATGCCCAGCTCAATGCAGTCGCCCAGCTCCCATCGCCACCGCCCTCTCCGCCCCCAGCCGCACTCTTCCTCACAGACTTGAATGTTGCAGAGCTCTCTGCCAAGTTGGGAGGCACCGCATTCAGCATCCCAAGCAGCGACGCTGCAAGGTAGGTGATCTCGGTTGTCCAACCCTTTATGATCTTGTGTTTTGCGGCACAGACGAGCCACCCACACTAATCTGCACATCCCTTGTTGGGCAGAGCATGTACCCCTCGCATCGGACGTGGCGGTAGGCTGATTATGGACCGCTGTCAGCCCTTTCTCGCGGAGTGGGAAGCGCCTGCGGAGGATGAGGTAGGGGGCGAGAGACATGCAAGAGCTGGAATTGAAGGGATTCCCCCCTTCTTGACTCCAGCACAGAAGTCGAATAATGACCCACCGTGCCGACGCTACAGGAGTCCAAGCAGCTGCCCCTGTATGAGCAGCCGAATCCGTACACTGAGTGGCTGGAGAAGAGGGACCTCGCACAGGCGGCCCTGCAGAAGTTACAAGCGGGCGAAAAGCTGCGGATCCCTCAGAGCCTTGCAGATGGCATCGACGGGGTCAACGGTCACGCGGAGACGGCCAAAGTGAAGGAGGAGCCTGACGGTGCCGTGCCCGATGAGAACGGTTCCCTGGGTGCAGGGGGCGCCGCTCGACGAGCAGGGAGTCGTCCTTCACGGAGTGGCAGCAGACAGAATCTTGCCAGTCAATGAATGGCTTGCATCGACTATTTGCTCGTCCCCTTTACTGATGTGTCCGCCTTGGTGAGTAGTTGGAGCATACTGCTTTAGAATGAAAGGTGCTTCTCAGCCGGGGGAACACAGACTTTCAGGGCTTGCAGACGGGTTGTTTGTGGAGGTCTTTCAATCATGTTGGTGTTGTTCACTTCGTCACCGCTATGCACCTTGAAAATTGTAGGCCAGACTGTCTTTTCCAACCACAGCAATCGCTCAAAGCGGTTCCTGATGGCCAAACTTTTTGAAAAAGGGAGGAAACTTCCTCATGCATAGGGAAAATAATTCTGAACAAGGGGTGCCAACATTGCATTTGTGCGCGTCGAAGAGTGCACCCTGATGCAGGATCCAAGGTCTCGAGGTGTGTGACGTACTACTAGGGGTTGCTGCAAAACAACAAGGCACCATTTCCAGCAGCCAGGATGCTTCACCGACACTCGTAGCTTCCTTGCTTGCCGCGGGCATCTAGGCATACTCCAGCCCATGGAAGCATGTAGGTACCATGTGCAGCAGCTCCTCAGGCTCCGCCACCTCCAGACCCTCAGCGGGAGGGTCCTGCATAGGCGCCCCCCCGGCCTCATGGCAGGCCAGCTCCTCGGGGGTCACAAATCGCCCCTTGATCCTGGGTCTGACCTCGGCGTACACGCGTCGCGTTTCGTACCTGATGGTCTTGGCAAAGCTGCGCCTAGCCCGCTTTGCGCGGTACCGAGCCAGTTTGTCGGCACGGGTCTCAGCCCCGTTGCCATAGTCCCGGTGCAAGACCACTCCCTGAGCTGCTGCGAGGGTGGCGGCCCGGGTCCGTATGGTCATGGTCCGAGGTGGCTGACGATCAGCTGTCTCGCATCCTGACGATGATTGTGTGAGAGGGGGAGAGCGGATGTCGGTGGAGCAACGTCCACTTGCACACACTTGAGACATCCAAAAGGAGCCGCTTCACCACGAGACTGCATCCAGCTCACCCGAATGTTCGATGTGGGGACTGATCCTCTTCTTGACAATGTCTTCCGTGCTCCGCTCCCCCTTGCCATATGTATTTGTTGCGTGGCGCCCATCACTTCCCTCGCAGATTGGAAGAGGCTGCATTGAGGAGCAGGGCAGCAGTCAAGACATAAAGTTTGGAGTCGTCGACCAGACCAAGCATGCTGACAATGGACACCACCGCACATAGCAAATTTCAGCCTCTTGCTCACATGGATATCCTGGCCTTTCGACTTCTGTAGCGAGTCCTTCTCAGGCTTGGCAATTGGCAAAGGGTATGCAGATGCATCGTCGCCTGTTGTGACAATTCGGTGGGCGGGGTGCAGGCCCAGGGGACTGACAGGCTCCATCGGTGGCCCGACCTCCATCCGTCGTGGAACCACACCTGTTCATGAAATGGGATGAGCGGTTCAAACAACATTGCCAGTGCTGCTGCAAGATCAGATATAAAACCTTCACAAGTCACTATCCTGCCGAGTAGCACCATGTCAGACTCACCATCATTCTCCTGCACAAGGAGGCTGCTCATAGGCTGGCCAGGAAAGGCCCTGCCTGCACTCATGTGCTGCCCCGTCCCATCAATAGAAGAATACCCGACATCAACATCATAGGGATTTGGGAAGATGGACTCCTGCAGACGATTCAGAGGAGACTGGCTGGACGCTGCTAGCTGGGAATTTGCTCAAAGTACGTGGCACTGCTCATTGCTGCTGATGTTCCGACCGCTTCCCTCTAAGTCCCCCAACCACCCACGCATGCACAAACAGGAGAATGCCTCACCATCAATGCACTGCTGAGGGAGCTGGAAGTCTGAGCAACAACAACGTCTTGACCTCCAGGCTGTGCATCCCACTGCCGGAATGCGTCGCGATGGGGCATGTAAACCTGGAAGCAAGCCACCAGGGAAAGAATTGTGAGGTTGTGTGAGCGTTTAGAAGCATTAAATTGCACATGTGGTCTTCCAGAAGCTATGCACCCATCAGGCACAAACAGAGCACCTTGGAACCGGTGTGGACTCACCCTCGACTGTTCATCTCCGAGGAGGAAACGCTCATGATGGTGTGCCAGGACATTGAATGAATTGTGCACGGCAGTGTCACAAATACTGCACAGGAAGGCATCATCATTCCTGCAGTACACCGTGGCCGTGCGGACGCCACACAGCTTGCATGATAGCTCTGAGGCCATCTACGATATGGAATTCCCAAGTCTCGTGGGGTGCGGCGCGTGAGCGTCTCCCGTTTCCTGAACGAGCGATGCTGTCGATGCCCGTCGTACCGGTGCCTGCCTTGTCCGGGAGGAATGACGCAAGGCGACATGTCACCACAGGAGGCGAGTGAAGTACACAAGTATGCATTAGATCTCTCATCTGCGCGACTCACCGTGCTTTCGACCGACTACCAGCTGATGGACTGTGCCCTCGCCCCAGGCGTGCCCGCTCTTCGCCAGAGGTCGCAAGTATCCCCGGCAGACTCCCCACTCGGTCGCGTCCAGCGTCTAATGTTGATCCCGGCACGTAGGGCAGCTTTTACCAGCTTACCGAGGTTGCGCGTGCTTCTTCAAGTATGTACTAGGGGACATGGAATCGACAAGGAATCCGTGCTTTCCCGCCATCAACACAGTACGACAGACAGGGAGGGCGGATGTGAGAGTTCCCAGCACCTTGAGATGAATGAAAAACCGCAGGACTGATACACTGGGGTGTCAGATTCAGGTGGCGCCCAAGTACATTTCTCACATCACGTCACCCTACAGGCCTGTTTCCGACCCGCGGCCCTTGCTGCATCACGGGTGCCCGGCGGCACCTGCGCAGCGATCAAGCCGTCCTCATCGAAGACGTACTCGCCATGCCAGGGACTGTTGGCGAAGTTGGCGTCATACTGGCCCGTGCTCCGGAACTCTCTGAGATCGGCCGCAGACCCGGTCGAGGCTGGGGCATCAGGGGCGCTGGCAGGCTCCCTGCCACGGGCCTCTGCCAGCGTGGCAGCGGCACCGTCCCCACCATGCACAGTCAGCGTGGCCTGACTCTGCAAGCTCTGGATGGAGGACACCCGAGAGTCCAGGGCGCTGTGAATGGAGGACGCGCGCGAGGCGGCTGCACCGGCCTGTACGATTCCGTGGAACAGCTCCGTGACTCCTTGCCCTGCGCGGCGAAGGGCGCTTCGGCCAAGCTTTAGATTCTTGCCAGGCTTGGACAATCACATGCCAAAAGCACGGCAGCAAATAGGATTGAAAGGAACACGGCCTATAAGAGAATACAGCAGCCACACCCCTCACAACGTCTCTCCATCCTCCCTTTCCGCTCCATGCAGCTCAGAAACATACCGGAGCCTCAAAGACCAGAGACACCGCACACCACACCTGTTTTCGCAGACACAACATAGAGGGATGCCCCCGTCATCTTGCAGTAGGCATCCACCTCCACGAAGTCGAGGGCAGCGGGAGACACCCCGGCCACCACCCTGGGGTCGGGTGTCTGTCCATCGGAGTGGAGGTCGCCGCGCGTCTCGGGCACCACGCCGTCCACCTCATCTTCAAAGCGCACCGTAGGGGCCTGTGAGGTAGCTTCCTGGAAGCCACTGCGCATGCGCTCGCTGTCCCCCCCCGCGTGGGTGGAGACTCGAGGCACATTGCCTTGAGCGTCCGCACCCTTTCCCTCGCTGGGCTTTGCAGCCTCGGGAGAAGGGCGGGGCGGCGCGAAATCTGTGACCAGATCTGCCTTACTGCAAGCCACAAAGATCAGGATGCCTGGCTGCTCCTGTTTCGCGGCGTGCACCTGCAGGCATGGGGTAGCACATTGGAGTGCCATGCAACAGGCCAGTTCTTTGTTCTGCAAGTGTGCAGAGTCCACTGGTAATCATGACCCGTCACAGGTGTACAGTCGGGCATACTGATGCATTGTCTACCACGTCATCCCAACCAACTCACCCAGAGTTTGAGCTTCTCCCAGCTGGGCCTGCTGGTCAAGTCGCACACTGCGACTGCAACGTCCGCACCCTGGATGAATCGCTTGCTGACATTCTGAAATGCAGGCGATCCGGATGTGTCCCAGGCCCCAATCGACACTGAATGGCCGTTAGGCAGCTGGTATCGCCGTGCGGCGAAGGCAGCACCATAAGTCGGTCGCAGGGTAGACCTCCACTCCTTGGCCACGTATGTCTGCAGCAGACAGCTCTTCCCTGGACGCACATTGTGAGCAGAGCAGATATTTGCATCATACGATGCTCGCTTACCAGCTCTACCGACCGGAACGGAGTACCGAATGCCACACTCACCCGAGGACTGTGCTCCCAGCAGCACCACCTTCAGGTCGAAATTCGCCATGCCTACCGAGGTTGACTCCTCGATAAAACAATCATCTCATCAGCGTTCTAGATATCCTCCTCAATATCCATAACCCTCGGGTTCGAGAGCCTAGTATAGATGCCATTGGCCGGCAGAGCGGGACGGATGGGAGCCGAGACTCCTGCTGATCTCATCATCAGGCGCGAGCTACTCCAGCTGCAGCGCCCGTGACATGCATGCACAGATCCGTAGCGCACCCCTGCAAGAGCCATTGATGGTGGGTTCATGCAAATCTCTACACACACGGTGCTGAGAGGACATCGGCGGCTCGACAGGCCGGCGAAGTGATCGCCCTGGTTGCCCTGTACCTAGGACCGCGCTTCGATGTCCCTTCCAGAAGATCATCGATACAATTATGTGGTCACAGCACAGAAACCAAGCAGCGTTCGTCACTCCGTGGTTGGGTGTTTTACTGCACCGGGGGCTGTGAACCTGATCGTCTCGTGAGTGGTGGGGCGACAGCGAGCTCCTGGGACATCAAGGATGGCCGGCTCTACTGTGCGATGCCTTAAGAGTATCACGCATTCCCCCTTGCGCAGGAAGTGCACGAGACTGGAGATCAGTGTGATCACAGCAGATGGACTGCAGGTGCGTCTGGTGCTGGAGGTTGAGCACTCCATGGCTCGAGGGATGGGCGTGCATGCCGCGCGAGGAACTCAAGACTGTGCATGTCTATGCCAAGCGCAACTATCCCGCCCCTCACAATGCAGGGCGTCATGGATGTCCCCATCTACGGGCGCATCTCAGCGCTGCGCCTCTTTGCTGTGGCGGGTGAGGAGACGGAGCGCCTCTTCCTCCTCACAGAGAAGAATCGCTTTGCGATCCTGAAGTGTGACCCCGCCACAGGTGCGCTGATTGCAGCAGCGACTCACGATCCTCCGTGAGAGGCTGTCGTGCCAGGCCGTGGTCGTGCCATGACGGCTGCATGGAGGACCGGGGGCGCTGGCCAGGTCGGCCTGCTGGCTGCTGCTCGACTCCATGGCACTCTCAATCCTGCCTCCAAACCCGCGTGTGCCTTCCCGCAGGCGAGCTGCAGACCTGCGCCAATGGCGACGCCTCGGACCGCATCGGTCGCCCGGTCCAGTCGGGACAGATGTGCATCGTCAGCCCCAAGCGGGACGCCATTGTCCTGCACCTGTATGATGGTCACCTCAAGGTAGCTGATAAAGGCATCCTCTGGGCTGCAAAAGGGGGAGACTGGGATGCCTCTGCCAAGGGGCCCTCCGGGTGGCACCAGACTGTGTTGTGCTGGTCCCTCCCACAGCTTCCACTTTACCCAATGCCACCCACCCCCTTCCCAACTTCCTTCTGCCTTTGCAGATCATCCCGGTGAGCCCCAGCGGGGTCCTTTCCGAGGCTTACAATGTCAGGATCGACGAGCTGAACCTGGTTGACCTTGTGTTCCTGGACGCAGAGGACTTCGAGGGTCTGCCCACCATCGCGGTGTTGTATGACGATGGAGGAGGCCACCGCCATGCCAAGACGTACTCCCTCTCCCTCCCCAGCAGGGTGGGTGGGAGGGGCATGGGGCACTACCTTGTGTTGTCAAGGGTGTGACTGGATGCAGAGGCCCAGCTTTGCACCAAACGAGGTTGTTATGGCCTTGTCAGTCAAGGTCCTGTGGCCCTCGTCAGACTGTTGGTCCCTGTGCTGGGCCCAGGGGCCACCTTTCGTCACGATCGTAGATCTGCCACCCCTCGCTGTGCAGGCCTGACGCTCACAGGGCACATGCCGAGCGCTCTTACCCTGTCCCCTTCCGTTCGAACATCTTGCAGGAACTGCTGCAGTTCCGCTGGGCGCAGGAGAACCTGGATGCCGTGGCGAACCTGCTCATCCCCATCCCCGGCACCGACGGCGTCGTGGTGGTCGGCCAGAGCACCGTCTGCTTCCTGGCGCACAACGCGGTGGTGTCAGCCTCCATTCCCTCCACCATCGTCAAGGCGAGGCTCGCTTGGGGATGATGTTTTGGCTGCCACTTGCCGTGCCCCTCACCCACGCACAGATGGCATGTATGAGAATGTCACCTCCTTTCCCCCTCCCCTTGACGTGTCCCAGGCTTATGGTGCCGTCGACCGAGAAGGGACCAGGTTCCTGCTGGGCGACTTCAGGGGCGAGCTGCTGCTCCTGGTCCTGGAGCGGAATGGGCCGTCCAAGAGGTGCGTGCTGTCGTGGCTAGGGCCCTTGCTGTGCCGCGCCGGTGACGTGTTCAGCCAGCATGTGGCACTCGCTGGATCGTTCTGAGTGGTGTAAGGACAGGGCTGCCCTGCTGCTGTCCACTGAGCTTGTTAAGTTGTTGGTGGAAGCTCCCGGCCCAGGGTCATGGCTGGGGCAGCACTGCGCCTGCACAGTGCCCCCTACAGCCACTTCCTTTCACTGTCGAGCATGCGTTGACCGTGGCCCTGCCCCCGCTCGCACCGGCAGCGTCACTGGACTCCACATTGAGCGGCTCGGCCGCACCTCCCAGCCCAGCACCATCTCCTACCTGGATGCCGGCGTCGTGTACATCGGCAGCGCATGCGGCGACTCCCAGCTCATCCGGTGGGTGGCGACGTGTGTGTGGCATGATGGACTGCACACTATGTGGTGTGGAGGGGAGCGAGGCCTTGCGTGAAGCGTGGCCGTCGAGACGGGGGCCCCAGGGGCGGGCGGAGGTCTGTTAGTCTTCCCCTATCACCTATTTCCCCTGCAGCTGCCTGAAGCCTGCTCCCCAAAGTCCCACAAGTCTCTAAATTCCCCGAGCCTGCCCCCCCTTCCCAAACCAGGTTGCATGCCCACCCGCCAGACCCCAGCCAGCCGGACAGCTTCCTGGAGGTTCTGGACACCACCACCAACCTGGGCCCCATCGTTGACTTCTGCGTGGTGGACCTTGACCGCCAGGGCCAGGGGCAGGTGGTCACCTGTTCCGGCGGCGCGGGGGATGGGTCGCTGCGCATTGTGCGCAGTGGCATCGGGGTGCTGCCCCAGGCCACCGTGGAGTTGCCGTCCCTCAAGGGCGTCTGGAACCTGCGCAGGTGGGGGTGCTGGTGGCGGCGTGGGGTGCGAGAGAGGGTCCGGGGGGGCGATGGAGTGATGAGGGCTGACATCACGTGATGGGTGGGGAGGGTGGAGGGTCGGGCATGTGGGTTGGGCCTGTGAGACGCTCCTAGGAAGGATACGATTACAAGCAGCAGGGTCCACAAAGGGCCACTGGGTGGTCCAGGGCAGCGGCTTTCCCACTGCCCACCTGTCATTTCACTGCTGGTGGCACTCCACATGGGGACTTGCAGCGACCCATGCGATGATCATCATGACCCTTTCCCACCCCCCCCAGGAGCTTTGAGGATGAGCACGATGCGTTCCTGGTGCTGGGATTTGTGGAAAGCACGAGCGTGCTGGGAATGAATGCAGCCGAGGAGATTGAGGAGGTTGGGGTGCCGGGCTTTGACGACCGGGCACAGGCGAGGCAGGAGAGAAACGGGCTTCTTTGGTCATGAGGGAGTGGCGTGGCTGAAAGCGTTGGGGAGCTGGGCTTGAGACCGGACGCAGCGGTCAAACGCTTGTTGCAAGCTCAGATGTGCCGGTGACAGGAATGAGGAGGGAGGACAATGCAACCTTTCACCAGGCACCGCGGGGGTGCAGCATGCTGTATGCTCCAAAGCAAGCTGGTCCCCCTTCTTCACATGCCGTAGACGCTGTGGTCCAGCAACCTGCTCGGCAGCCTGGTGGTCCAGGTGACGCCCGCTGCTGTGAATGTGGCAGACACCCAGACGCTGCAGCGTGTCAGTCAGTGGACCCCGCCTGAGGGCAGCCACATCATCATGGCCGCTGCTAATGCAACCCAGGTGCGGGACCAGCGGGCCTTGGCATGCATGGGGCGCGGGCCCCATGCAGCGCTGGCACTGTGAGGTAGAATGCCTCCTTGTCGCTGCGAGGGCTGTGTTGGGCCCTGGTGCTGAGCCAGACAAGCGTGAAAGTGACAACATGAATCAACGCCCACTTCCTCTCATCCCTGCAAACCCAGATGGCTGTGGTGACGGGGGTTGGCAGAGTGGTGTTGCTGGAGCTCAAGGGCTCTGCCTTGGAGGAGGCAGGCCAGCTGGCACTGGACTCTGAGATTGCCTGCATCGACCTCTCTCCCCTCAGTACGTGCCTGGTTGTTCACGATGTGCCTGGCTCACCTCGACACCCTGCCGTGCCCACATGCATGGCATGGTGGCATTTGTGTGGCAGCGCAGCCGTGTGCGTGGACTCTCCTCTTGGGCTGCACAGTGCTGATTGTGCATGCATATCTCTGTCCAGGATGTGCGTTTCATGTTGCTCCAGCCCAGATTGCCCACTTCCTCGCCGTCCCCTCTTGCCCCCGCAGAAGCCGGGGCCACGGCGTCGGACTGGCTGGTCCTCGGTACGTGGAGCATGCATGTGCTCCTGTACTCGCTCCCGGGGCTGCAGCTCGCGACGGACGAGGCCTTGGGAGGGGAGGTCATTCCAAGGAGGTACTTTGCAGCCGGTGCCGCCTGCCTGTGTCTGACTTGTGGTCATGCAGTCTTGCTGGAATGGTACGCTTGCCCATGTCATAATGAACCTATGGGCGCCAGTGCAAGACAAGGCTCTGACCCTTTGTCTCCCCCTCCCTACAGCATCCTGCTGTCTCAGTTTGAGGACTCTGCATATGTGTTCTGCGGCCTGGGCGACGGCCACCTGGTCAACTACCGGTGCGATGGAGGTGCTAGGGTGCCCGGGATGAGAAGCTCAGCTCCTTTGACGCTGTTCCCACCTGACTCTAGTCATTTTGGGGTCGCAAGGGGCTCAGACCATGCTGTTCTGAGACAGGCCGTCGAGGCACCTGCTTTCTGTCGCTCGACAGCCCTGCCTGCCCACATGACTCTTCCCCCAGGCTGCACGGCGACCAGCTCGGCCAGAGAAAGAAGCTGGCACTGGGAACCAAGCCCATGAAGCTACGCGCTCTGAGGTAGGCATCGCGATGCATGCGAATTTTAGGACATTCTTGGTCTTCACTTTCTCACTGCCATGCTGCTTCGAGCACAATGGCCTCAACCCATGCTTTGTGTTGCCCATGTAGGTCACGAGGCGTGCACTACGTTTTCTGTGCATCCGACCGCCCGACCATCATCTATGCCAACAATCAGAAGCTCGTCTACTCCAATCTCAACGAGAGCGAGGTGTGGGAATGTCCACTGGCGCAAGGACTTGAGCAATTCAAGGGACTTGGCGTGCAAGCGCATCAGCCACGGCATTGTGCGGCTGACCACGTCCAGAGCTTGCTCCTGTAGGCTGATGGCCCTGTTGCACATGAGAATCCCTTCTCACCTATTGCAGGTGAACTTCATGGTGTCATTCCATACCGAAGCCATCCCACACTCGCTTGCTCTGGCCAAGGACAACGATCTCACCATTGGCATCATCGATGAGATCCAGGTTGGTTGACTGCAGAAGTGGAGTGTTGCCAGCAGGCCAGCAAGGGCTCCTGGCGCATGCATGTGGCTTGGGATGCACGACCTGTCCGTCCCAGGAGCTTGCAGTCCCACACTGCGCCCCTCCCGGTCCCTGCGCAGAAGCTGCACATCCAGACGGTGCCCCTGGAGGAGCAGCCCCGGCGCATCGCGCACCAACCGGCGACGCGCACGTATGGTGTGATCACCACCCAAGCCACCATGGGCATGGGTGAGTGGCTGTCTTTTTGAGGACGCGGGATTACAGTATGCGGTCCTATGGAGGCAGTTGGTTTGTAGAGGGGGGCATGGACGAAGAGCAGAGCGGACCTGCAGACCATGCTTTGAGGAGGAACACTTTGACACATTTGCATGCCCTCCTCTCATGAGTCGATTCCCGCCCTTGCAGTCGACGCCAAGAGCGATTCGCTGCGCCTGATTGATGACCAGACATTTGAGACCCTGGACCGGTACCAGATGCCCGAGTCCGACATGGCATGCAGCCTGCTCTCCACGACCCTGGGCGAGACAGGTGCAGGCCCCTACTACATCGTGGGCACCGCCACGACCAACCTTGCAGAGCGGGAACCGACCGAGGTATGTGTTGGGGACGGTGTGTGTGCACTGCGTGGGGCGACTGAGGGAATGGCCCATCGCATGTTCACTTGCAGCTGCCCTGCAATAGCACTGCATCCCCTTGCTGGTGCACACATGCAATGCAGGGACGGATCATGGTCTTTGAAGCAGTCGAAGGGAAGCTGCACCTGGTGTACACCCATGAAACGAGAGGTGCTGTGTACGTCCTCCACCCCTTCCTCCACAACGACGAGACGATGCTCGTCGCAGGAATTAACAGCAGGGTGCAGATGTACAGGTGGGTCGGTGCTGTGGCTGTGAACTGTCTCTGGTTATGGGGTGCGTGCTGGGGTTAACGAGGCCCTATTTCTGTGTTGCATATGGCAAGTCGGAATCTAATCTTGCTTCTCTATATGCTCTCAGTGATGACATTGCTCAGCTCCCCCCCACCACCTCACTCCCACATTTCAGATGGGAGGTTTCGGCCATGAGCACCGCCAGCCTCATGCCCCATTGCAGCTATGATGGCAACGTGCTGATCCTGTTCCTGGACTCCAGGAAGGATCTTGTCATCCTCGGTGAGGATTGGGATGGAACACACAAACGAGCAGCCTGAGAAGTGCTTGGCCCACTCTGCAAGGATCAAAGATCCACCCCTCACATCCCCCACTCCATCCTTCTCAATACCCAGGTGACCTGATGAAGTCGATGCAGGTGCTGCAGTACAGTAGCGAGGAGGGGAAGCTGTTGCTGCGTGCGCGAGACTTTAGACCCATGTGGATGACGGCAGTGAAGGCCATGGATGATGACACGTACATTGGTGAGTCATGTAATGGGCGAGTCGAGGCGGCTGCTTGGTCAGAATCTCTTCTTCTTGGTACATCCACGTGGAGACGTGGAAATTTAGACCACAGAGGAATCTTAAAACAGGCTACCTTGTGTGGGACTGCATCGGTGAGCTTGGAAACCGAATGTATATCGTTCTGGAGCTCAGGCGTAATCTCCACACCTCTTTGTGAAGGCGGCGAGAACTCCTGCAACATATTCGTTGTGCACAAGGGTGACGACGCTGCACCTGATGAGGAGCGAACGAGGCTTGAGGTAGGAGTGGTGTACGTTGCTGCAACGTTCCTGGGTGTGCAAGCTGCTGCTGGAATCCAACCTTGTCTGGACCCGCAGGCAAGCGGACACGATTTTCCTGTGTTGCTTCTGATCACCTCTCTCCTGCCCTTCTTCTTCACTTGTCATGCACAGGTTATTGGCCAGTACCACGTTGGCGAATTCATCAATCGCTTCCAGAAAGGATCACTGGTGATGAAACTACCCGATTCAGGTGTGCAAACGCTTCAATACCATTTAATTGAGGGAGTGCGGACTGCTCGCGTCACGGTCCAGTCACTCCCAGTCTTCCGTAGGAACATGAGCCAAGCTCAAGGTAATCTCCTTGACCCGCCTTTTTCAATATCCGTATCACCTCTTCCAAGTACAGAACTCTCGCAAGCCCCGCTCATGCTATTTGGAACAATCAATGGAGTCATTGGCCTCATTGCATCGCTCTCACAAGACCAATTCCAGTTCTTGGAGCGGCTTCAGGTGCGATGGCATTGCGAGGTTGACAAGGTATTCCTGCAATGGTGTTGGGGGCCAGGATATCCAGGGTGTTCTTTACGCCACCAGCCCACCAATGCTCGCATGCAGGCTGCAATGCTCAAGGTCGTGAAAGGAGTCGGAGGGTTGGACCATGGAGCATGGCGCTCATTCGTCAACACGCACACCCAGCCCACACCCGCCTGTGGTTTTGTCGACGGCGATTTGGTTGAGCAGTTCCTGGATCTAAGGTAGGAGTAATGACCAACTTTATCAGGAATTGTAAGTGGGGGACTGTGATGCCCAAGGGCAGCTCTTGCCCTGAATTATCCTGTACCGTTCTACCCATGCAGTACTCCATTGTCTTTCTCGCACAGAGGACACTCTTGGATCATCATCCCCTCCCTCTAATTGCAGTCGCGGGGATCAGGAGATCGTATGCAGTCATCTTGGAGGATCTGCATCGCTCGAGCAGGTCCAGCACCTTGTCGAGGACCTGTCCAGATTGCACTGACTTGGTGATTTCCCACTCTGTCCAATGCCAAACTTGGTGATGTGCTGTAAATTCAAGATAATTATCAGTCGAATCTCTGCACAAGTGCTCCAAGGTGCCCAAGGGTGTATTTCTGTGAGTCTGAGGAGGTTGCATAGACAGGGTGGAAAGGCATGCCACAGCTGTAGGTCAGCTCTCCAAGCATCACACCTAGACACCGGTCACCCCCTCAAGCATGCTCAAGGCTCAGCCTCCAATGACTGCAGGAGGGCGGTCAGGTTCTGTTCATTCTCCTGCATGAGGGCTCCGGTGCCAGAGTAGAAGCGCAGGGCCAGCCGGATGGACTGGATGGGGCGCCGCAACCCTGGGTCGCTGAGGATCTCCTCGGCGTGCTGGCGCAGGGAGCTGTCATCCATCACCACAAAACCGAGCAGGATGGAGGCGTACATCACAATCAAGTCCTTGGCACCTACAAGGAGGGGAGAGAGGAGAAAGTGGTGCTCTGGTGAGTGCCTTCAGGATGCAGAGAGCTGATAGCTTTTGAGCCTGCCACAGTTTGCTTCTTTTGTCCCAATGCAGACACATGAGTCTAATCTTGCGGAGTATTTGTGAGGGGCACATGCATACAGACACCAAAGTTATCAGGGCATGCTCAGCTTGCCTTCCCGAAAATGGGTCGATGCAGTAATGCGACTGACCTGGTGCAGAGGAGGTGAACTCGGGCGCAGGCGCGCAGCTGATCTCGACAGGAGCAGCTGGCTCGCTTGCCGTGGACCTGTGGGCGTGTGTGCATGTGTGTGTCTTAAGAACCAAACAGGGCACCCTCAAATCCGACATGTTGTGCCTAGGTACAGTGCATGCGACTCTACACCCTCCCACCCGTGCAGTCGCTTCAGGAGCTCCAGAACACATTGAAGCACGCCGGAGTGGGCATGTGCAGCATGTATGTCCTCGCTGCTCGCGCAGGCCCGGAGTTGGGCACGAAAATCAGGGCCATGCTCGGCGATATTAACCAACAGTCCCAGGCAGCCACAGAGCTCGTCCAGCCACGTCTCCAGATCCCAATTGTCCTTGGCAAGCCCTGGTGAGAAGTGCATTGGACATCGTCTCGCTGTTTGAATCTTGCAGATGGCATTTGCATGAGATACTCTTCCTGCCTCTGAACTTCAACCGTGTCTCTGCCAACAAACCACCAGTACGGCATGCTCACCTTCATCCAGGCCACCATCCTGAACCACAAGGGTGATCAGGTCGAGGACTGTGCCGACTGCCCCACAACCGAGCAGTTGCTCACACCCAGCCTGGCTGTTTTGCGACAGGTTCACCAACACAGAGATGGCACACCTCATGCAGTCCTGAAGTGAGCGCGAGCAAGGGAAACTTTGTCATGCTCTCAGACTTCCAATGGACCAGCATGGGACCAGGCATCCGTTTCTCTAAAAAAGCTGCCCTCCAGGTGTTTATTCATCCACTGAGCAGAGGCAGACCAGCATGCCTCACCTTCTTCAGTCCCAGGCGCAATCCTTGGGACGCCAAAGTTGCCACCATCTGCACCAGCCAGGCAAGCAGGGTGCAGCGGCTGGTGACCTGCATGGCGCAGGCCTCCCCCGCGTTTTCCGGGCAGGCAAATGTTGCAGCCTCAAAGAGGACCAGGCTCCTTGGTTGGGAGGGTTTCGGGATCAGTGGAGGTGGGGGGGGGGGGTGGAGGCGCGGCTGCATCCGGGTGCATGCACGCACAGGAACTCTGATTTTCCATCCCTAGCTCGTTCGACCACCCCCTCCTGGACCCCCACACCCCAGCACCTCACCTGTGGAGTGTCCAGAGGCAGCGCACCGTGTCTTCGCTGGGCGAGGTGTCCGTCAGCGCCCCCACGCACAGCAGCATGGTCTGCGCAACGATGCCAAACCCGCCCTGGCACCTGAGCCCCTCCTTCCACGCCAGCGCTGCAGCAGCATCATTCTGGTCCTCCACACGTTCTGAGGTGATTAGGTGGGCCGCAAGGGACGTGGAATAGGTAATTCAAATGCACTTTGTGTGTCCTATGCCGTCACACAGTTCAAGGACAGAGCCCTGCGTGAGCTTTGTCGGCCCCCAGCGCCGCTGCCCACCGTCGCACCTGTCAGGGCCTGCAGGAGCAGGGCCGGCGCATCTCGGCGCAGGCTGCTCGGTAGGCGGCTTGCGGAGGAGTGTGGCGCGGAGGCCAGGCGCTCCAGGCTCACAAGGGCGCCTGGCTCACCGCTGGGTCCCAGGTCCTGTGAGTCGTGGGTTGGGGGTACATTGCAGGGCGTGTGACACTCTGTGGCACTGTACAAGCTGCAAGGGGTCCTGCTCGGGCGGGGCCACCGAGGCATTAAAACACCAGAAACGGTTCCAAGGGCCCTGCCCTTGGACCTGCGCATGCCCCCTGCCCACCACAAGTATGGGCCCAAACACCAAGCCGGCGCTCCCACCAAAAATGGCCTACAAATAGCAAAGTCAGACACACCGCGGACTCCTGCAGGATTCTCGTGAAAAGGGCAAAAGTCCCAGGCCCAGGCGGGCTCACTGCAGCGCAGTAGTGTGCCCAGAAGAGCGCAGCGCAAATCTTCAGGGTCGGGGATGCGGTGAACTGCCAGGTGCCTGGAGCGTGGGGGAGGGTGTTGGAGGACAGAGTGAACAAGGATGCCAGGCACTGACCACAGGCCCGCCGGCGATAGCAAGGGCAGCATCAGGTCACGATTTCCCAGGTGAGCCTGCACAAAAGGAACGCCGGTGCCACAAACCTGCTGTCTCAAGGATCAGGGGCAGCAGCCCATGCTGCTTCATCACTGCCAGTGTTGCGGGACGCGCAGACAGCTCCAGCAAGGACAGCAGGGAGGCGCTCTGGACGCTTGCATCACGGATGCGCAGCCCGTCCAAGGAGTAGAGGGCGTCGTCCAGCCAACGGACTTGCTCACCCAGCTCTTGGGCCTGAGGGGGAGGCAAGGGGTATGGATGGGGAGGGTACTCTCCAGTGATGAGCCGCAGGATGGTAGAGGAGGTCTTGGTACACAGCAGCGCAAGATCGTGAACTCATGACGAGCTCACCTCCATGACTGTGCCAGCAGCTGCAGCTTTGGCATTGCCCAGTGGCGTTGTGAGAGCTGAGGGGCCAGTGTTGCGCTGTCCCTTTCCTGCGCCCAGCACCAGCATGGCGGCCTGCCGTGCAAGGGTTGAGGGAAGGGTGTGTCACAGAGCTTTGCCGTACACATACTTCTGAGCCTCTGCATGCATTCCATTTGCGTTTGACTTGTATGCCTGCATTCTCAGCCTGTCCCCACTTCCGAACACCTGCTTGGTGCTTCGCTTCCCAGGCACAGTCCGGGTCGGCCGTGGGGGATGTATAGCCTTGTTGGGGGCACATTGGAGTCCTTTGGGACTCCGTGAACGAAACACAACCGTTTCCTGGGAGATTTTGCGCTGAAGAAGTCGTTCAGGAGACGCATGACGATCTTCTTCCTGCGGTGGAGACCATGCTGTTCGTCCGGGTGGCAGCGGCCGTGTCAACCTGGCCGGAGACAGAGACACCGCTCCCGCCGCATGCGCGCAGTCTCCAAAGAAATACGGGTCGGAGCTGTCTTCGATACATTCAGCGCTCATCATTGTGCTCAGTGCCCGGGCTTATGTACTCCGGCTTATGTCATGCATGTGCACGGTTGCGACGGGAGCGTCGGGGAGTGCCTCAGAACAGCTCCACACCAGGGTGCATGGACGCGTTCTGCTACCAAGTCAACAAGTCCAAGCTGCATGTATGGCATCAACACATGCGTCGACAAGGATCGCTCGGCTCCTCAGCACGACAGGCCCAGCTCCGGTGTTTTGAAACGCCATGATGTGCCTGCTGTGAAATATCGGTGGGTTTCGGCAGGCAAATCCCTTTCCCATTGCCCCTTCACCATGGCTTCATTCACAACCTTGGCCAACTAAACGTGGTTGCGTCAGTTCAAATTACCCTGCCGTGGTCATGCTCTATTGTGCCGAATACCCCACACCCCAATGGGCAACGTTATTACAAGCCATCAAGTACATCCCTGTTCTAAAGGGTATGGTTGCGTTCGGGTTGTCAGCACATGCATATTGATCCAAATACTGAATACATGAGTCTGTCATGCGGGGTATCGGCTGCCGCAGTGCCCACAGCAGTAGGTGTGCTGGGATGTGCCGGTTTTGCAGAGGGGCACAAAGCAAAAATGAAACTTGGATGATGTGGCGAAGAGCTGCGCTTTACCGCCACACCGCGGACAATGCATGGACTGTCCAAGCCGCTTGGTCTTGGTGTGATTGCCGCATGTGAAGATGATGGGCAGAAACATGGAGGGCGTGGACTGTCCCCGGTAGGCTGAAGCGACGAGATGCCTCCCTTGTCGAGTCTCAAGTTGACGTTAATGTCTGAGGTATTGGTGATTGAAGTACCGACGGTCCTCGAATGTACAAGGAAAGTACCCCGAGCGTTGGCTTTATGCTCATGTTGCTGACGCGCTGGTTAGCTATGCTACCTGCCGGGAAGCTGGGTCGTCAATACGGTTGCCTTCGATTCTTGGAGGCTTCAATGCGAGCCGGACATTTACGCATCATCCCGAGAGCAAGAACATGGGTATTGAGGCGGTGCAGTGCCATTAATAGTACGTATCGGGGTATCGACGTCGGCAATCTTATTCTATACAACGAACTGGAAAGGCAGCTGTTAATTGTAAGGCTGCACCAAAGCTGGCTCAGGCACTTCTCAATGCTTGAATGGAAAGATGTACATAATAATGCTTTCTGACTTTGGGAAGCTATCTAGACATGACTCGTCACCGTTGCCGTCCTCATTGGAGGTGTACACCTCCCTGCAAGCAATAAAGAGCAGTTCAGTTAAGTGGGCAATTAATTGAGGTTCAGGTATGACATGGACCAGTGCTGTGAAGACAGGGCGGTAGGGGCATGCCGTCATAAATCCATAGCATTTCCGTCTGTTTCGTTTCTCCCTGCCTCGGACCCTGACATGCTAGTGAGTGCGCCCATCCCTTACAAAATCATTGCCAAGTTGTGCCAGACCTGTGCACTATCCAAGCTTCCACGTGGTATGCATCATGCCCTTAGATGGGGAGCGGGCATCGTCCTGTGCCCTGGAAGCCATGGCTGTAAGAGAAAGTAGCCGAAACCATCACTGTAAGGGAGGCATCAACAGGGATCATCTTTTGACCGGGGATGCGCTGATTTTCTCAATATGAGTGTACTTGGTGCATACGGCGGCGCTGTTTTGTAAAACAAGTGGTCCACTGTCAACTCAGATGCCCAATCAACACAGGTCACCCTTGCAGAATTCAATGCCACCTCTCACCGATTGGGTAATAATCATCTTGCTGAAAGGGAGACCTTCAAAACTGCTGAAAAAGAATTGGTGTAATGGGCTGGGTGCATCGTCCTTGCAACCCACCCCTCATGCGAGGTCTGTTGATGGGAGGGACACTTTTAAGCTGATCCATTGAGGAGTCAAGTACGAGTTGGAGGTATCTATTGCACTCAAGGTATGTGTTGGTGCTCGTGTGACACTTTCCTTGGCGTGGCGAGTCGAACGCGGTGACCGCGCGCTCGCCCACTTCCTCACCATGTCAGATCAAATCTAGCATCGCAGGTGCCGCACAGAGCCATCGACTGCATGCACAAGCATTTCACAACGGTATGCAATAAAAAGAACTCGGATCCAGACGGGGTGATGCATACATGTGAACCCAGTGGGCCCTGGAACAGCATCGCATGACAGAGGTTGCGGCCCTGTCTGAGGCCAATGGAGAACCTCCCACTCCTGGAAACCTCGATGGGGAGCTCCTCCATGAGAACCTCTGCCGCCACCACATACCCTTCAATAAAGACAAGCTCAAGGTTGCCATTGGCCTCGGCATAGCCTTCATCAACGACCTTGGTAGGGTTGGGACGTCCTCTCTTGGTCCACCAATTTCCATGCTGTCCAGCCTGCCTCCCTTCTCCTCTCCCCTCAATGGGCTGGCACACCAAAATCAACCCTACACTGCCAGCAGGCTTGTTTGATGGGGGCGAGCGGGAGACCTACGAGGCCTGCATCGAAGCCGGCAAACCCCCCTCCTGCCTGGCCTGCATCCAGGCTGCTACTCGCCAGGAGGCCATCCCTCCGCTGCTGGAGGCGGCCCACTGCCTGGTGGAGTTGCTCATCCTGGTGCGAAAGGACCTGAACAAGCTGTATGACCTGCACATGCGCGTGAGCGCGTGCTCGGTCCTGCTGGGCGTCACCGTCTTTGCCGTGGCCACCATCGTTGAGGAGTCCAATTCCTGCGGCACTGCCAGCTGCTTTGTGCTGGAGGGCACGGCACTGGCCTGCTACGTGCTGGCCCTGAACTGTGGCATGCGGCTGGCCTTCATCTACGGCATCAGGAAGATCCAGACCGCGGTGGAGGGCGACATCCTGCGCTCCGGCTGGGAGCGGGAGCTGCATACTCGCACACGCCTGGACCTGAAGCCGGGGCTGAGGCGGTCGCTGCTCAGGTTCTCCCACAACGAGGCGCAGCTGTTCTGGAGGGAGCTCAAGGGCTGGTTCCGGAAAGAGTTTTTGGCACCTGCCAAACCAAAGACGTAGCCACCGGGAGGTGGAGGTACCTTGCGCCACCAGGGGATGAGCGAGCCGCTGTGTGAGCCAGGGAGAAGGTGGTGCCCTACTCATGAATGGCCCAGACCCAGGCACACCGGTACTCACAGCATGTAGGCTGCGTAGCTTTCTCCTGCCATCCTCTGGGCACTCCGGATGCATGACACAATGATGCATGGCTTTGTCAGGTGCCACCCGGCGCAGCTCAATCCGAGCACCCTTTGAAGTATACTCGCCCTCTCGTGCAATCACATTTCCCCCTTTCTACCAGCCTCAAACCTCCAAATAACATGGCCCGCATGTTCAGTAAGCGTGCGCTCCCCGGACAATGAGCTGATTTGGGGGTTGTTGCACCATGAGTATGTTTGATGCACCCCGATGACAGACATGGAGTGTAGACCCTGCAGTCAACCTCACCAGCCTGAGCCTCCACAGCCGCCAGCCTGCTCATGTGCTCGAGGTGCGGGCTGATACACCAGCGCATCCATTGACCAAGACAGCATCTGAGAGCCAGTAGGCATGGCAAAGCAACGAGGGCACCAATGTGCATCAGGTGATGCTGCCAGTCGGCTGCCCCATCCTGGGGCTTCCTCTTCCGAGAAGAGCCCACCCAACCAATTTTCAACTGGATACACCTCATTCATGCTCACTATGCTGGCTGGACAAGAATGGTGGCTTTGCAGGAGTCTCTGATGCATGATAGATTTCTGAACAGATATGGGAGCCGCACGATGAACAGAGCGTGCACCTTCACCAAGGGCAGGGCTGCATACACCAATAGGCAGGATAATCCAGACTTCAGGCTCGCCGCGTCCGTCCACTCCTGGGGCCGGCTCGAGGGGCTACCTGCTGATTAGAACAAAGCGGCGAACTGGAATGTTTGACGATCTGGAGGAGGGGTATGAGCAAGAGGGATGCAGCTGGTACAGGCAGGCGAGCACACCTCTTCTATTGCTTGCTGCCTGGTGGGACCATTCCACGCTTGCTTTGCGTAGGTGTACGTCGTCTTCAAAGTGAATATTGACCTGGTGAGGGTTGCGTGGATGGGCTGGCGGCATGACACGAGCCTGCCTTTGTGGCATTGCCAATGCATGCCCACACCAGACACGCACCAGAACACTAGGAGGAGGCTGAGGGCTTGCTGCAGGTTTGGGTTCTCCACGGCCCCCGAAAGCTTCGTAATGAAGTAGCCACCCCCAGAGAAGATGCAGAGGCCCATGAGGGCGACGCCCTTGCCGGTATTGAGGAAGCTGTGGGCCGTGGGGGATGAGGGTGGGCTTGTAAGGCTACACTCCTGGCCATGCACACCCAAGTTACACGGTGATACGAGTGGGATGGAACATTTTAAAGGTGTACACATATCACCTCATGATCTGGGAGTCGTGGCCGTGGTCGGGTTCCCAGCTGTCCTAGGGCCGGAAGGGTCGTGAATGCGTCACGAGCCGCGTAACGTCGATGGATAAAACAGCAACGAGGACTATTTCGCTAAATGGGTGATTAATTCTTGTATTCGCATGTCGCATGGTGTGCATCGGGGGACTTGCACGCGAGAAATGGACCTCCATAGCAGTCACATGGGGACACAGATGGGACCCTGGTTGCAGGGCAAAAAGAGAAGTGCAACTCACGCTGCTCCTCGCACGTTTGATCGGTGCCAGAGCACATGTACCACCTCAGGCGCCATTGTCGGCAGCGTTATGCAGCGATCGTCCGCAGCAGCTGCCGGGGCGCAGGGCAGGGCTGCGGCGGCCGAGACGAGGGGCAGGGCCATAGCTGCGGCCGTGGCCGCTCAGGCGCCCGGGCCGGCGTACCCCTCCTCCACACACCACAGGAAGTGGCCGCAGTGGGCCTTGGTGTACTCCCCCAGCCGGGCATGCACCACCTCTGGGTCCTCCAGGTCGCAGGCGGGGAGCAGGGCCTCCGGCGGGTGCGCCGACAGCCCCACCCCCGGCGCGGCGGCCAGCGAGCGCATGTGCTCCTGCACACGCCGCCCCAGCCGGTCCAGGTCGGCGCGCTTGTTGAAGTTGACGTTGTACTTGGGCCGGTCCCAGCCCAGCCGGAAGTCGGGCCCAAAGTACTCGAGGTAGGGGTTCTCCGGCAGCGCGTCCTCCACGCTCTGCCCCGTCAGCACCGCCGTCTCCAGCGTCCAGGCCCGCGCCACCGTGGTCTTGATGTACCCGCCCCCGCCCAGCACCAGCATGGGCACGCCGTAGGCCTTGACGTGGGCCACCGCTGCCGCGTGCCCCTGCAGCGACAGGTTCCATGGCCCCAGCCGGTCGCCCTTCACCGAGTCGGCACCTGTGTGTGTGGGAGGGAGAAGGTCCTTCATTGTTCGTACGTTGGCATGTGTGCGACTGTCCGCCCCGTACATCGCATACGCGCACGCATGCGCGTGTTCCTGGCGGCATTCATCGGCCGCAGCCAGCATGTGCCCCAACCCGATGTGCGATGCGCGCGGCGAGGCATCCTCCCCTCCGATGCGCCCACATGACCGCCAGCTTCCCCCCTCTCCGCCCCGCCCCCCCTCCCTAACCTCATCCGGCCACAGCCACCGACCCCTGGGACGCACCGCACTGCAGCACGATGGCACCCGGCTGGAAGCTGCGCATGACGGCGTCCAGGGTGGGCCTGAAGAGGCCCAAGTACTGCTCGTCGTCGATGCCCTCGTCCAGCGGCACGTTTAGCGAGTAGCCCCGGCCCAGCAGCTCCCCCTTGTCCTCCAGCGCGCCCGTGCCGGGGAAGAAGCCCTCCCGCTTCAGGTGGAAGCTCACGGTCATCACCCTGCATGGGGCAAGGGGGGGAGGGGGCAGCTCCAGAGGGGCCCCCCGCAGCACCTGGATGGGGCATGCACCGCACGACCTACGACCCCGCCAGCCCCTCCCTCCCACAAGGAGCCCCCTTTGCACACCCACTGGGCCCCTTGCCCTGCCTGTCGGTGGTGTAAAAGGCCTCCTCCACGCCGTCGCCGTGGTGGATATCGATGTCCACATACAGCACGCGGGCGTGGGCCTTCAGCAGCTCCAGGATGCCCAGCACGCAGTCGTTCACGTAGCAGAAGCCCGACGCCTCGCCCTTCTTGGCGTGGTGCAGGCCGCCCGCCCAGTTGATGGCAATGTCGGCGTCCCCGTTCACCAGTTTCCTCGCAGCGTCTGAGGGGGAGAGGAGCGCGAGGAGGCGTGTGATCCTGATTCAGCAGGCGTGGCGGACCACGCTGGGCCCTGCACCAGCACCAGCGTTGCATCTGGGGGTGGTAGAGTCAGGTGGCATGCCCACCAGAGTGTACAGACGCGATGCAATTGTGGCAAGCTGTGCCTACGCCCATGTGAAGCCCAGGGTAGAAGGGCAGCAGCACTTGCTCGATCATTCCCATGAGATGCTGCTCTCAAAATCGTGTCAGACCCCCGCCCAGAGGCCGGTGCTCGCTCTCATTCACCTATGGAGGCCCCAGCATAGAGCCTGCAGAAGTCAAAGAGGCCATGGAAGATGGGGCAATCCAGCTCGATCCCATACTTGAGGAACGCACGAGGGTCGGAGCGCGCCTCCTCGGGGGTCGTGGTCTGCAGCATTCCGACATAGTCGTTGTTGTGAAAGGCAGTCAGCTCGTCGTGCTGGGCTCGACGTGGGCGCTGCGAGGGGGGGGGGGGGGCGGGATCGATGAGTGTGCGGGCGGGGGGCATTCACTTGGGTCAAGTCTCGACACATCTAGAGCCGCTCTTTGCCATCCCTCAGAAGGGTCCAAGGCACTGTAAGCTCACGTAGACATCCATATGCTCGTGAAGACCGTATCCAAGGATGAGATGATGCGTCATGGCAATGCGCTGAGGCTTCATGGGGTGGTCAGCCCCATAGTAGTAGCCTGTGTAATCGCCTGCAGAGGAGTGGGGGCTCTCATGGTGACACTTACGTGTTATTTAGCACAAGAATACATCGTTGCACACCAGCGTCCTACTCCACTTCCGACTCACTGTCGTAGAAGTATGCAATTTTTTCCTTCCCGTTCACCATGGTGGCTAGTTCGCCGGGCGCGAGCCCCAGCGAACGTTGGCTTACGTCATTGTCATTCAGGAAGTGCAGTTATGGAGGTAGAATCTACCCAAACGCGACAGGATGGCGCAGGAAGTCAAGCAAGCTGCTCTCAGAGCTCTCGTCCCTCCAAGGCACTATTCTCCATCGGGTAACACTCGAGGTAGAAACTGCGGAAATCCTGTAAACGGTAGAATGATGGAAAAACGCAAGTAGCGTCACCCGGGACTCTCAACAACTGGCCGTCTTGGCCGGTAAAGAGCAGATTATCATGATTTTGGAGGACCACTGAACCTCTACGAACGCCCAGAGGCCCCTCGACTGGTCGTAAATGAGCGGCGCCGTTTGCCTGGGCTCGCGGGGTCCTGGTCACCCCCAGCCCGGGCACGCGTTCGTATACTCCCCTCCTTCGGCTGATAATTAATTTTAAACCTCATTTTTGAGGTAGGGAGGGGCTAGATCGGCAGACGCGCGTCTATGGCGTCGCAGAGACCTGACCCAGACCGAGGATATCGCCGTCAGGTGAGGGTCGTAGCTTGACATTGGAGAGGCCAGGCACCAATTTAGGGAGCTTTGTTTTCACTGCCTCTCCAAATTTTGCCTTCTGGCGTCCTGCCTGGTGTTCGGCGTCGATCGGTGGCCTGCTTGGCCTCGAACAGGGCTTCACCCCCGCACTCCTAACGCAGCAGGAGCGGAGCACATCTCCTCATGGCAGCCGATTCAGGACTGGAAAGGTAGGTTGCTAGGTATTTGCATTCATCCTGTGCTTGCTTGCCATTCAGCGCCTCCGACACAGGCTGTCCATGCTGCGCACCCTTGCCCACATGCAGAGATTCGCTGCCTTTGGGCCGGAGGGCGAGTTCCTGCGAGAGCGGCGCTCTCCACCTGGCTCTGGAACCCCAGGGTACGACAAGAGGGCTCGCTGGGAGTCCTCCCGTGCCCTTTCGGACCGGCATGCCAAGTTCGATGCCTGGGAGGGCCCCGACTCGCGCGGCTTTCGCAGTCCGCCCACCTACGACAGCAGCCTGTACGAGCGAGGTGAGGTGCAGGTGTTGTGTTACGGAGTGATTGCAGGAGGCAGGGTTGCCAGATGCTCAGGACTGCTGATGCCTTGGATCACGGGTATTGATCGGAGCAGTGTCCTCCAGACTGGTGCGAGTCAGTTGGTGCTGCATGCAGGCAGGGACGCCTAGGCATGATCGGTGCCCGCAACTGTGAGTTTGACCCATGCATGATTGTTGCACAGGCATCTTGCTGTGGTCTTCAGCAAGAACGTTGTGTGACCCTAATTCCACCCCACCCATTCCTTCAGGGCCGTCTTTCTCTTCAGAGTGGCCTCAAGGCCCCTCAGGCGCAAGACCCTCCAGCGCCCCCAGCCTCCACCGCGGCCCGACCAGTCCACGCAGCGCTGATCGCGCCCCGTTGGACCCCGGCGGCACCGGCGCCCCGTTCCGCGGCGGGTGGCAAGCCCGCCGCCGGACGTCGCGCTCCCGCTCCCGTGAGCGCCCCCAGGCCTTCCCCCGCGACGCCGACCGCACACTGACCCATCCTGACCCGCCCCGCCAAGCCAGCTGGGACGGCCACCGCAGCAACGCCGGCGCCGTTGCGCGAGGAGGGCCGGATGCTACCTGGCGGGGCCCGGAGGGTCCGGAGGACACGGGCGCGGGCAGCGGGGCCGGGGCCGGCGCCGGGCGGCCCGCCGGCCGGGCGCTGGAGTCCGCGTGGTCTGGCACCCGGCGCGACAGCCTGGCCTCCAGGGTGTGCAGCACGGGCCACCCCGCGGCCCAGGAGGCGCCTGAGCATCATGCTCCCCAGCCCGGGCACCCCGCGCTGGCGGGACCGCAGAGCCCCCGCGCCGGCGCCACGGGCGAGCCGGCCGCCGCCGCCATGCCCTCGCGCGACGTCGCCTCGCCTCGCGACGTCGCCTCGCCGCCACCCCGCGCAAGCCCTGGCGGCGGGGTCGAGGCCCGGCCCGAGCCCCGCGCCACGCCGAGTGCGACGCCGACGGCGGCCTCGGCGGCGTGCGGCGCCATTGCGCCGCGGCCGTCCCCCCCAGACCCCCACCCCGTTGAGGCGGTTGCAGTGCTTGGCGCCAGCTCCCCGCCCGCGCACGCTAGCTCCGCCTCCCTCCTGGCCCGCATCCAGGACCTGGACGCGGAGCTGGCGGGCGTGGGTGCGCAGGTGGCTGCGGGGCGCGAGGCGGCGGGCGAGGCGCGCGTGCGCGCCGCCGACCTGGCGGCCACCCTGGCTGCGCTGCGGCGGGCGGAGGTGCCCGCCGCCGTGCCGGCCGTCAAGGCCGAGCCGCCGGCGGGCGCGGAGCTCGTGACCAACACGCGCCCCTCAGGACACAAGCCGGCGGACTCGGACTCGGCCACGGCCGTGAGCTCGGGGGCCGAGGGGCCGGGGTCCGCGCCGCGGCCCCATGCCAGTCCGAGACGAGCCACGCAGCGCGACGCCCGCCCGACGGCCGCGGCGGTGCCGCTGCCGTTGGAGCCGCCCGCCGGCGCCGACCCGGCGCGCTGGCGCTCGGCGTTGTTGGGCCTGGGTGCGGCGCTACACGCCCAGGCTGCCGAGTCGGCGGTGGAGAGGGTGCTGCGGCGCGGCGCCGCCTCCGCGCGCGCGGCCTGGGCACGCCACGCCGCGCTCGTGCCGCGCGAGCTCCTGGATGAGGCGGCGGGGGCGCCGCACGGCCTTGCCGTCCTGCAGGACGTGGCGCAGCTGCCCTGCTTTGCGCGCAACGTCGCCGCGTTTGACAGGTGCTGCATGGGAGCTGGGATCTCCTGGGCTCGGGGGGGGGGGGCGGTGTGGAGTGCTGGGGAGAGGGGCGGTTGGCGAGGGGCGTGCCAGCCTGGTCGCTCCTGGGTGGGGATTGGGGCTGGAAGCTGTCCAGGATGGCCACCGTGCAAGAGGGGGGCCCGGGGTATGCATCCTCAGCGCCTGCTCGACCCTGGCATCGTGCCGCGACGCCGTCGCCACGGACCCCGCAGTGCCCTGCCGGTGCCATTTGGGGTTACGTCGAGCTCTTGTCACGGAGTGATGCGAACATGAGCTTCACGGAACC